GGTACTTACGTTCAACTGTACGACAAAGCCAATAGTTGAAGATGCCTCCTTCTCTTAAAGCGAGAATGCTGAAATAAGTTAAGAAAAGGTTAGTCAAGTTTCAAACTTGTCAATAAAATGTCTTACATTGGATCAAACAATTTTTTGAGAAAACATTCTTTTCTTAACAAGATTGACAGATAGTCAGCGGCAATTCTATCCTGAGCAATGTGCATTACCACATTCTTTGCAGTGAGAAAACGTGTACTTATCATAGGCGTGGTAATGTAAACTGCTACTCTTTCAAACAAATGCACATTCTGCATAATCGTTTCAATTCTACTTTTCGTTCGGTTGATGTGCTGTCCTATTGCGTAAAAAAGGCAATCATCTTTGTTTGAGGTCATTATTTGCTGATGTAAAAGGGAATTCTTGGTTAAGATCACCTGAAAACTGTCACTGTTTGCCACTTCTATGAGATCTTCAATGCTGTCAATTGGTTTGGTTGTCTGCGGAACGGTCAAGATTGAGAAGTAGATGCTCGTGTAAAAAGTGCTGAGAATCAAGGTGGAAACAATCCACAACCCAACTAAAAATTGGACTCCAACTTGAGATTTAGTCGAGGAGGTGAAAGTAAGGCTCTGTTTTAGTGTGATTTTGAGGAAAACGACCACCAAATCAAGCGTATTTGAGCCAGTAAAAGTGAGTAGTGCAATGATCAGCACAGTGGAGAGAACAATGAGTGCCCAAATTAGCACTGAAAAAGGTGCCAAAATAAGCGACAGTCGGGTGCCCTTTTCATTAGGTGGCGGCGAGACAAAGGTGATCTCATTGAAAAAGAGAATTTCAGTAAATGCAAAGGACTGCGCTCGAGCGAAACTTTGCGAGATGACGCAGAGTGCAAATGTTGAACTGCCGTTTTCTACCATACCAAACATTCCTGACCATGATGATTCGTTGATGAGCTTTGTGCCCCAGACCTGGTGGGCGTACAGAAGATTGGCACGAAAGTTGAAACGGTTTTCCAGCAGTTGCAGTAAGTTCAGTTCCACTGAGTATGAGGGCAGATAACTGGTCGGGCTACCGTCTGAAGTAGGGAATAAATCACAAAATGGCGGTACCTAAAAGTAAAAACAGTTACAGCATATTTTAACAACGCCATTGCTTAAGCTTACTGAATTGACAGACACATTAATAACTTGGCTCATCAAGTTTAACCTTTTAAGCATCTTGAAGCTTTTTAATGTTTTTCTTGAGAAAAAAAATGTTTTCAACTTTCACACATAAATTATGATATCACTTTGCTAATTAGACAACAGAAGTCCTCACTTTGAGAACGGTGTATCTGCTAATGTGCAAAACAAAACAAAAAAAAGTTTCCCTAAACAGATAAGTGGCAGCCAATTTGTAGCCAATCTTTCTCTCCACCACTGAACTGCTATTCAATTTACTAAATTGACATCAATTAAGGGCGTGATTCAGGGCAAAGGGAGAGACATTGATTGTTCAAATTGTTCTCTTTGCTTTTTTGTTGCAGCTTTCTTTTTTGTTTCAGAGTGTATAAATAGAGGTGAACGGTTCAAGTGCACACTTTCCTGTGAATACTATGCTATCTTGCTGCTCTAAACTGTTGTTAGAGAAGGAACATGTTCTCAATTGCACCACTATCGCTAGGCATTCTATGTCTGTTTTTTCCGCTAATCAACGGGCAGTACGCCAACTTAACGATTCGTTTTGAGCCCGAAGTGCTACGACCGGAAAACCTAGTCGAGGGATTCCTCGTCAAGTGCACCGAGAGTGTGAATCCGACGCCCAAGGAGTACATGGTCACCTTCTACCTCAACGGCACCGTAATCACCGTCTTCTCCATTAACCCCGCAAGAGGTAAGGGAGCACTATTTTTAGTGCCAACAAACACACTATATTAAATTTATTAACCCCAAATCAGATCGATTCATGGTGGACGTCCACTCGCATCCAGCACTGAACGTCTACCCCACCAGAGAGTCACTCTACGAGATTCGCGTTCGGCCGAATGAGCCAATTGAGCAGCTGGGCACCTTTCAGTGCTCCTTCACCTGCACTAGCATCAACTTTCCCCACTCACTGACCTTCTATTCAAACACCATCGACACGCAAAGTACCCTGGTTCGGGCGGCGGCCATCATTCCAAAAGCGAACCTTCGCCTAGACGTCAGCAAGGTGGACTCGGGCGGTCTGGTGACCTGTCACGTTCACGTAGAGCCCCCGTACCTGAATCAGCGGGTGATCTTCCTGATGGACAACACTGCGCAGGCAGAGTATTCAATCACGTGTAAGTGTAATCTTGCTTTGTATAAAAGTAGATTTCACCGTGTCTTTTTCTCCGTTAAACTAGACTCGAAAAAGAGGCCTCTCGTTTACTGGAAGCGTCTCGTCGACCTGGACTCGTACAACGTTTTCCGTGGCAATAGTACGCTCTTCTCAACCACCGATTTCCAGCTGTCGATGCTCTTTCTCAGCACACTTTCGCCATCGTCAGCTCAAGTCGGCAGCAGCGTGCCACGAACGTGGTGGAAGTGTCAGCTGGTAGTGATGCCCTCGTCTGATGCGCAAGAGACAGCAAAGTTCTTCTCCAATGGAGTTGACTTTAAGCACTAGGCAATGACGTTCATGTTGACGACAGTGCCATTTCGGTGGGCGTACTCGTGCTCTCGCAGCTCGGCTAAGTTGCTGAAACGATCAGGTAGATCAGGATATGTTGATTGTTTTGGCCTTAAATAAGCCATCAAAGTTAGGAGATTGTACAGTGGAGTTTGCACAAGAATAAGGTAAATAAAGGACAAAATTAGAGACTGGCTGTAAACCAAAGTGAACAGTTGCATCTGAAAAAAAAGATTGAATGGGTAATAAACGAAATGCAAGAAAAAGTCATGATTAGCTTACATTGATGAAACGACTTTTCTGCAGAGGAGTTAAAGCTCGAAGGTTAAAATCAAGTAGAAGCAAGTTTACTCCTAGAGCACAGTAAGACAGGCGGTCAAAAACGTGAAAAAAATGCTGCGATAAAAAAGTCTTGAAGTGTGAATTTCTCTTGAAAGTGAAGCCAAATTTACTCTTCATTGACATTGCAAATAAAACTCCCAGCAAGTAGGATACTGTGCTGAAGGTTGCAGTCACTGGAAGGTCAACCAGTGCAGTTAGCGTACAGAAGCCTATTACAGTGGCAATTGAGATAAGGCAAGAAATGGCCGTTTTGCCTTTCAAGAACAAAAAGCAAATTAGGTAGTTGAGAAGATGCAGTTGAAGAAGTGATGGTAAAAACGATGATCTACAGGAATACTAATTTTAAAAAAATTATGTTGTGCTTTAAAAGTGTTTGAAAACTATCACTTACATTGTAGAAGAAGTTGTCAATTAGCAGCAATTGCAGTGGCCACTCTGAAAGGAAACAGTTGTCTTCAGTAAACCGAAAACTGATCTGCAAATTTGGTAGAAGAATGGTGCACAAAAACACAAAACAAACTAAAAGTTGAAATTTTAACCAGGTAAAAAATAAGTAAACAGTCAAATTGGGCAACTTTTGTTTGGCAGTTAAATTCTGCAGTTTCACTAGACCACAAATGAAGAAAAATGCTGCAAATAGTACTTTTTGTAAAACTGATGTACCTTCCGAAGCAGTTCGACAGTTTTCCACTGAATCAAACACAATCAACCCAACAAGTACAGCTTTGCAGCCGTGAAAGTGATTGGAAGAGTGCACATTTGCTTTGGCTGAAACTTGTTCAAACTGCTTTCTCACGTTTCCACCCAAATGGAAACAGCAGGTCACTCTAAAGAAGACATTCTTCCAGTAGGAGTTTGATGGGAGAGACTTCTTTACCAGGTAATATCCACATGTGGCAAAAAGATTCAGAATAATGGTAGAGAAAGCAGTGCACATGGCTACAATGAGCAACCAACTGGAGCCGTCCTCGCTTTCCATACTCCGACTGTGACAGTGGACAATCTCCAGTTTAATGTGCCCTAAAAAGTTTTCTAAATCTGCAAACAAAAATGTTGTTTCAAAAAGTAATCAAAATTAATCAAGGGCTAGAGTACATTTCACCATGAGCATCTCCAATTCTTCAACTTTGCAAATTGAGGGCACACAGATGCCAATGAGCAGCTGACTCTTCTGTCCTCCTCTGTTCAGCAGCCACCGTTGAGCGACTCGCTCAAAGTAGCTTAGCGTTGATTCGTTCTTCAGCTGCAACGACTGCGTTTCATTAAAGTCCGCCAGACTGAACCGTGTCAAGCAGAACTGCCCCTCAAAGGTGAGATTTTGTCCGCCCGACAGACCCGACTGTTCGGGCACTTTGATGTTGAGCACTGATAGGCACCGATTGGCGGCAGAGCTGTCTATGAATGAGGACCGAGTTTCAAACAGCTCAGGGTCGGCGATTCGTGAGATGAGCACATTTTCCGAGAGAAAGCCGTTGGCGTGAATCATCCGAGCGGTCCACTCTTCGTGGAGGCCATTTCGAAGGACGTACTCCACCAGTTGGTAGCACCTGGAGCTGCCTCGATCAAGGTAAAAGGCAATCTCCTCAACACTGTTTGCCAGGCCGCCCAGGCTGTCAGCCGACTTTTCCGCCAGAAAATTGACTGAGCGCCAAAAATGAGCCAGCTTTTCGTCGTTTTCATTTGCAACTTCAGAGACATTATGAGCGTGGCCGAAAGGGCTGTTCGCCAAAAGGAAGAATATAGTGCAAAGAAGAAAGGGAATGAAAAATGAAAGAGGCATTTTGTTGTAGTGAAAACACTTGACAAACAAAGAGGACGGGCATTTTTACTGTGACTGCTCAAAAAAGTGTTCAGCTCAAAACAATGAAGAAAACGAATGAAAAAGTAAGCTTTATCAATCAGAAAGTATCTGTTTATGCTGATCAAGCAGTTTTTTGTCTTTTACTTCTTCGCTTTTATCAACATCAAATAGTCGCCTGATTGCTGAAATAACGCGAATAATGCATGACGATGAACTGACACCAATAGTTGAAAACTCATAACATCTTCAGGACAACTTTGCCGTCGACAGACTTTACCTGTTGATCGGCAACAGTGTACGCGTCCAGAGCCTGATCAAAGGGCATCACATGTCCTGTCTGTGGTTTGATGTCGCCGGCTTCGACTAGCTCTGTTAGGCACTTGAGCGCCTTCTGGTTAGGCATGTAGTACGCCCACCTGACTGAAGTTCGATCCAGCAAACCTGAGGCAGTGTCAGTGAGAGCTTGGAAGGCGGTGGCCATTGAACCCCCAAAAATGCCCTTGCTGTCGAGGTTGCGAAGAAGCGGCGAAGTGAGAGTCAAATAGACGGGGAAGCTTTTCTGCATTGGTTGTTGTCTGCTGGACAGCTGTTTCTGCCGCCACGAGGAAATCAGCTGAAGATTGGCGCTGGATGCCTCTGGTGGTGACGCGTCAAGGATGAGGTCAAATGACTCCTGGTGGCACTCCTGAAGGTACTCTGCCAGCTGTCGGTAATCGACCACTTTATCCACCGCCACTAGTGACTGCAGCCACTGAGCGGATCGAGCTGAACAGGTGACCACAACATGGGCATTCCAGTGTTTGAGCAGCTGAACGGCTGCAGCACCGACGCCGCCTCCTCCGCCAAGAACTAGGCATCGCTTTGTGGCAACCGTTTGAGGGGTAAGTTGACCAAAGTTGACCAGCGCTGACCAAGCTGTCAGTCCGACGTAAGGAAGAGAGGCCGCATCCACAGATGAAACGCCAACCGGCGCCCTCCAAATGGAGCTCTCGTCAACGACGATGTGATCAGCATGAGAGCCACCATCGGCAAAGGGCGACACTGTGCCCCACACCATTTGGCCTGGTTTGAAGTTTGTCACCGTCTGTCCAGTGGTAAGTACTTCGCCGACAAAATCGCGCCCAAGGGTGAGCGGAAGACGATCGTAAGTGATTCGGTCGATGCCCGTCGATGAGACGACGTTCATCAGACTCAAGAGCACCTGGCCGTAGCCACGAGACATCGACAGGTCAAGCGGATTAATGCTGGCAGCGTGAACACGAACCAACACCTCTGATGGACGGTAGATGGTCGGCACTGTTGGGCGGTTGATGAGCTGAAGAGAGTGCTTCAAGTCGGCGTGATACCGAGTCACCGACCAAGAACGACTGGTCGCTGTTGATGAAGAACATCGGCACAAGGGACCAATTTTTGAAGTACTGCTTCTTGAAGTAACGCGGATAATGTTTGTCGAAAACATGATAACGGAAGGTGGAGAACTGGAAAGGTTCAAAGAAAACTCCACCAAAATCCGCTTGAAAATCTGAAGTTTGCAGAAGCAGCGTGAAAAAAAATTTGTAAACATTGGCGTCAATTTCTACCACAATGGCTCGCTTGCGTTGGCCATTTTTCAAACTTTTACGAGCGAAAAACTGTTTTATTTCAAACAATGCTTCTTTTAGTTTTACAGCACCTTGCTCTGCTAAGTGCAATGCCAAGAAAGTAGAAAGCAATACACATTGAGTGACAAACAAGAATAAAAACAATCCGTTGAAGCCATGAAAGTACGGCAAAGACTGGGTAAGGCCACACATTGTAGACTAAGCCGTTGGAAAACACTGTCATTGCGTAAGCTGCCATGAAAACAGTAAGTACACTTAAACTTGACTTCCTTGAAGGTATTTTTAAGGTAGTGAACCAAAGTTCAATCATTGAAAAAGCAAAAGGTAGTGTGTGCTGAAACAGAAAAGAATTTTAATAGCAAGTTTTTAACATTTTGAAGATACTACCGTTGTATGTTGAAACCACAGTGGATACATTGAGAATGAGCCGGATTTAAATAACATGTCAGGTTGAAACAATTTCAAGTACCAAAATGACAAGATCACAAACTAAAGTATTTTACATTAATACAACTTGTTAGTAAAAATAAGCATTTTACCGAGCCGACGGGAATCAATAATGAGTACAAAACAGCTGAGATGCATTTGTCAAAATTCTTTGATTTAAGCCAATGTTTTATGAACAGCACTCCAGTAAAGAAGATCAAATGAAGAACCTAAGAATTTTTTTAGTTATTCAAATATAAACAATCTCACACTGATAATTACCAAATTCCAGTAAGTGAGGTAGAGCAGCGATCCCAAAGGAAGCTTGTGTATCGGATTCGGTATTACATGCTGGCAGTACAATGAATGGCTAAAAATGACAAATGCACCAAAACGACTTAATAAAATAAAGTTGCTCATTTTCCCCAAAAACAATAGACACCTTTTGAGTAATTTGTTTTAAACAAAAATATTGCGAGTGGTTAAGATTTGAACACCTCATTAAATGTGTTACAGTTAGGAAAAATAAAATTAACCGCAATGACTATGCAAGTTTTAATTTCTTATACCTTTTTTGTAGCATTTTGAAAAATCTTTTGCAAAGAAAAAGTTACTTTTAAATTCAAATATACAAACATTTCTTAATTGGCAATTTTGTGCATTAATCACGTTTTGTGTTTATGCTAACTGAATACCTGTCAATCAAACATTTTTTAAAGCCACAAAAAACCTCAGTAAACATTAAAAAGTGTTCATTTTAATTTTTAAATTTTTTTGTTAAACTTTATTTTTAACTTGACAAATAAAATGAATTTGCTATTACTTTTATTGTTGTTATTTTTAACATTAGGTAAATTAATAGTTTTATTTATTTAAGTTTTAACTGAAGAATTTCATTTATGTAGCATCAGCAATGCCGGTCTCAAACATTGAAAACGTCGAGACAATAAGTTCTTCACAAAAGTACTTTCCATTTCCATTCAGGCCACTTTTGCTTTTTCACGATGGTTACGTCTATCAACTGTACAGCATGCCACCGGGTAGCTTTGAAAAACGGCCTCAAATAAGTTCAATGACACAGTTTAATTTTGACAATCAACAGGTAAGCGTAAAAACTTTGACTGTTTTTAAAATTATCAATGAAAAAACTTAGTTAGTTTGTTTAAATTTTATTTTTTAGCAATATCATGACATTCACCAAAATCACATTGTTTATTTGCCAGCGAAGAAATAATTCCAAGAACGTTTTAATGGTTCATTGATTCTGGCGCTTATTTTGCTATTGTAACATGTAACTCTGAACAAAATAATACTGATATCGTTTGCCCAGCTGCTTAAAACTTTTGATTTTTTTGTTTGGTGTTAGACACATTTTATTTTTATTGCTTACAAAATAGCACATTCAAATGCATAAAAATCTGTTTTTGTTTGTTATGCAATAGTAGCATTGCAAGATTCGCCTTGTTGCGCATCTTTGACTTGACCTGACTGAGATTGGTTGGTAGAGCAACACCTAAATGAAAAACCTAGAGACCTCGTTAATGTCAACTGACTAATTAACCTACATGCAATGCGTTTGGTGTTTATTGCCCTTGAGTTTTCTCCATTCTAACGATGCTCTACTAATTGAAATATCAGCCATGCATTTATTCACAGTGCACATTTGGCTGCCGTTTCATCCAAAGCAACATATGTCATTCCGGTTTACTGCCCGTTTTCTGCTTACAGTGGCTATCATGCATTCATTGCCGACAACCATGTAGAAGTTTCAACATAGCCATCTTTGCTATCACCATCATTATCATTATCATTTCACTGTCACCATTATCAATTTTAAACTTCCATTTTCATAACTTACGCAGACATTTCCGCAATGTTCACGTCATTAACTGTAGTTTACGTCACATGGTTCTATGCTGTTTTTGGTAAACACTAAACAAACGTTCCAGCAAATTAAGCGTTACTAGTGATGATCACTGATCATTTGTCGTCATTTTCGTTTTTTTCTTTTGCCAGTGTCACAGCTTTCTGTTCACGTTCACTGTCAGGGGTGGAGCTACGACAACCAGGCAGACTGGCCGTCTAAGTACCCGGCTTGTGGTGGTTTCCGCCAATCACCCATCAACATTATCAGCCGAAAAGTGGTTTTCAATGGCAGTCTGGAGCTGCTCTTTAACGGCTACTACCGCAGAATGACCTCATACAGTGTGGTCAACACCGGTCGAACGGTGAAGTTTGACTTTAAGGGCGATCTACAGAGTTCACCCAGCATTGCCGGCAGCGCCCTTCCTGACAGCGAGCAACAGTACTACCTTAAACAGTTTCACTTTCACTGGAACCGCCGTCACAGTTTGGAAGAGGGCTCAGGAGGCTCAGAACACCAGCTGGATGGGTTTCAGTTTGATATGGAGCTGCATCTAGTTCACTCGCTGCCTGCTTCCTCATCAGATTCATCATCTTATTCTAAGGACAAAAGTGGTACGACAGTTGTCCTGGCAGTGCTCTTTCAAATCAATCAACAGAATGAGGTCTCATTGAGGGCTGTAATGCGTAGTCTGAAAGAGGTCAAGAGCAAACCAATCAATGAAACGGTTCCCATTCAGTATGGGATTCGTCTGTCTGATCTTCTGCCTGAAATTAAAGATGGAGTAGGTTTCTTCACGTACACCGGCTCGCTGACCACTCCGCCCTGTACAGAGGGTATCACCTGGTTTGTGCTTACATATCCCAAGTTTATCGGCTTCAAACAGGTAAGTTAGCTAGTTTTTAAATTTACATTGCTTAATTACTGCTTATATGTTTTAGATTAATGAGTTTCACACTCTTCCTGGTTTTGAAAATAAAAACACTTTTCGGGCTATTCAAAAATTAAACGGCCGTATTGTGCAAATGACAAAATAAATATAACTTTTTATTAACTAAAAGTTTTAAGTAGAAAACAACAGCAGTCTTTCTTACTGTTTGAGCACCTGGCCAACAACTTGGTGGCGAGCAAAAAGAATAAAAATCTGTAACAGAAAACAAAAAATAAATAACTTTTCAAAAATGACATTTTAACTGAATCTCACCTGCTCCAGTGTTGTGTCTGAAACTACGTAATCTTCAAAATCAAAACGCTCGTTCAACGCCGACATTTGTCTGAAAATGTTTGACCACTTTTCATTTGGGTCAGGAATGTGGTAGTGCAGTAAACATTGGTGGTAGTCTTTCATCAGGGCAGAAGGCAGTAAACTGGTAACACCTTGTTGCACTGAATTGAGATACTCTTGGTTTGCTTCAAACTGCTTTTTCAAACTAATTGTTACACTGTAACCTTGACCATACTTGCTTCGTAGATGCTGTGTGCTGCCCAGACAACGGAAACGACCATTTACCATGATTCCTATGCGAGCACACAGAGCTTCGCATTCTTCCATTGACTGATGAGTGATTGAATTAATTAAAATGTTTTGTAAATAAAAGGTGTCTATAATTACGTGAGAAGTTAGCACAATCGAACTTTTAAAATGCCTTTTCAGGTAGCCAAGAGTTTGCCAAATTTTTCGTCTGGCAGCAGGGTCAACACCGGCACTCGGTTCGTCAAGAAAGATTAATGGAGGGTTTCCCATTAGTGCAATGGCAAGGCACAGTTTTCTGTTTGATAGTATTTGTAAATAAGTAAAAACATATCGTTAACAAGTCTGTCACTTATACCTTTGATTTCCGCCAGAATAAGTGTCAGTGCGTTTACTTGCATGTGCTTCAAGACCAACCATTTTAACTAGATTGCTAACATCGCGACGAATGTACGCTTGAGGAACGCCGCGAAGTCGGGCAAAAAGATAGAGCGTTTCCTCTCCTGTCAATCTATAAAAATTAATTGTAATCGATAATCAATTAATACAGGTAATTAATTAAAATTAATGTTGCACCTGTCCAATAGGCAATTAAATTGAGGGCAATAGCCAGTTGCACACTGGAATTCTTTTAAATTTTCAATCAATCCAAATTGTCCACCTTGAACGTAAGCATTGCCACTGCTCGGCAACAAATCGCCCTGTAAAATTAATTTTTGTAAATTATATTTGACTAGCACTCAATTAACATACAGTTAGCATTCCAAATGTAGTAGTTTTGCCCTAAAAATTAATTGGCTTATAGTAATTAACAAGGTAATCAACTTTGTAAGCAAATTCATACCGCTCCGTTCACTCCAAGTAAGCCAAAACACTAAAAAAGTAAAAAAAAAAGTTANAATGTAGTAGTTTTGCCCTAAAAATTAATTGGCTTATAGTAATTAACAAGGTAATCAACTTTGTAAGCAAATTCATACCGCTCCGTTCACTCCAAGCAAGCCAAAACACTAAAAAAGTAAAAAAAAGTTTNATATTTGACTAGCACTCAATTAACATACAGTTAGCATTCCAAATGTAGTAGTTTTGCCCTAAAAATT